TTTGTCGGCTATGAGAAGCTGAGTGACAACTATCGGCTATACGATTTGCAGAAGAAAAAAAGTGTTTGTATCGGCACACGTCAACTTCACAAAAGAAGGTGAAGAAGAGGATAAATATTTGTTTACTCTCGTTCGAGTGGGAGGTGAACACATAGAAGCAGATGACGATGAAGATACGAAGGAACAAGAAACTTCAAGTGATTCTGATAGTAGTCAGAGTGATGCTGATCAGAGTGATGCTGAGAGTGATGAATTCTTATCCGCCAAAGAACTAACGCCTATTGAATACCGGAGAAAATTAAGATCACCAAGCAAGATCAAGAAGCCGAGCCGTTTTGAGGCAAATTTAGCTGTGAACAATGAACCACGAACATACGTCGAAGCAATTACAAGCGCCGAGAGTAAGCAATGGGTAGCAGCAATTGATGAAGAGATCAAAGCACACATGAAGAATGAAACATGGTGCGAGGCCAAATTACCCAAGGATCGACAAGCAATTGACAGCAAGTGGATCTTCAAACTGAAGAAGACGCCAGGTGAGCCAGATCGTTTTAAAGCACGGTTGGTAGCACGCAAGTTCCGACAAATAGAAGGAGTCGATTATGATAAAATATACTCGCCTGTTGTGCGGTATGAATCAGTTCAAGTGTTACTTGCATTGACAGCAAGTGAAGATCTCCATATCCGGCAGTTTGATGTGAAGACTGCGTTTCTCCACGGTAACTTAAAAGAGGAAATATATTTGCAGCTACCGGAAGGACCATGGTCGCAGAAGAAGCGTGTGGTGCGATTACTTAAAGCCCTGTATGGCTTAAAACAAGCACCCAACCGTTGGAATTGTCGCTTCAAACAATTTTTAAAGAAGTTTAATTTTGTACAGTCAAAAGCTGATGATTGTATATATTTGGGCGAGATAAATGGTTTCAAGATTTTTCTAGCTCTCTACGTGGATGATGGTCTGATGATGAGCAGGTCGGTGGAAGTACTCGAGAAGGTGCTTACTGAGATGACGAAGGAGTTTGAAATCAGGATCTGCGAACCCAAGTATTTTGTCGGACTGGAAATTGAACGCGACAGGAAGAAAAAGTCACTGAAGATGCATCAGACAGCCTACATCGAGAAGATATTGGAAAAGTACGGAATGGTAGATGCAAAGCCAAGTGCAACGCCATTCACACCTGGACTCAAGCTGAGCAAAGAGATGTGTCCACAAACCGAAGAGGACAAAGAAAAAATGAAGAATGTACCTTATCGTGAAGTAATTGGATCGCTTCAGTATGCAGTGAACGTCACACGACCTGACATCGCATTCATTGTGAATGTATTAAGCCGATATTTAAATAATCCAGGAGAACATTGGAAGGCGGTGAAGCGAGTACTAAGGTATCTTTGAGGAACCACAAGTAAAGGTATCGTGTTTGACGGCACGAAGAGTTCTTCAATATGCGGCTACAGCGATAGTGATTATGCTGGCTGTGAGGATAAGCGACATTCTACGACAGGCTATGTATTCACAATGTGTGGCGGACCAGTGTCATGGGCCAGTCGCAGACAAGGAATTGTTGCATTGTCGACAGTTGAAGCTGAGTATATTGCAGCAAGCTCAGCAGCACAAGAAGCAAGCTGGTTAAGGGTACTCATAGAAGGTATTTATGGAAATAAAGCCAGCGCATTTGATCTTAACGTGGATAATCAAGGGGCAATAAGCCTTTGTGAAAATCCAATCTTTCACAAACGAACAAAACACATTCAGGTGCGATTCCATTACATTCGAGAGAAGGTCAAGAGGAACGAGCTCAATGTGAAATACATTTCGACGGAACAACAGTTAGCAGATATTCTGACGAAAGAATTGCTAAAAAGACGTTTTAAGGAACTAACATACAAGCTTTCGATGGAAGAAAAACCGATGGAAGATAAAAGAGACTAATTTTTTTTGTGTTGTTTTCTTTTGTATTTTGGATTGTATAATTGTCATTCGATCAAAACTGAGAGAGTCTAATTTTCGTTTTGTTTCTGGACGGTATAATTGTCATTTAGTGGGAGTGTTAGAATAAGAAATGAAAATTATAAAGCCCGCTATTTAGTTGTCCACTACAGGGTATTAGTACTTTATTTTGTCACTAGAGTCAAATCGATTCACGGTTCGATACTATCGATAGAGAGATATATCGCGCACTTTCGTAGTCGTCGTTGACACGCTCAAGTCGTCGTCGCTGTTAACGCTCTCGCAGCATATTAACCTTGCTTACAAATAAAGTCTTTACGTTATACAGTAATAAGTACAAGCATATTTCTTTCCCGGTGTTCTCTCCAGTATACCTGCAGGATATATACGGGTTGTAAGTCGTGCAATACTATAAGTTACATAGTGAATTGTCGAGCCAGCCCGTTAAAACAATAACAATTTCAATTTTTTGTAGAAATACGTAAATTGTTGTAAAATTATTTCTACCAGGGCCAGCATGTGATTATCATGAGTTGGCTAAGTAACGTCAATATTTAAGCTCATATATTTCCTCATATACATATTAACTTGTACTCATGATGTATATCATCACAATATGATCACAAGACATACATCACATTTCGATCAATATCAGAAGATCATGACGTGATGAAATCTGATCATCAGGCATTGCTATCTGGGTATATCATCAGTTGTATCGCACGCTTATTATAATAAAGTGGCACACAATTTCGAATTGAATTGATATATTTATCGATAGTTTTATAACATTTTACATCCTTTCATAATTTTTAATTATATCTGAACAGATCTGGATACATTCGGTAATTAATTATATCTCGGCAGATTAAATTATATTTGGTCAGATCTTTTTTTTTTGTTTCTCGTAGGAAGAGGAGAAATACCTTGCGTATCTTCGGGGGCCGGCCACCCGGAGTATGTGGGGCTTGCATCCACTAAAACTCTTTAAACACAGCACTAAAGGACTACAGTCACGACACACGGAACACACGAGGTACATACATTATTTGACGAGACAGTCCACACGCATGACAGAAACACGTAATCCAAAGACAAGGACCACACGACGGGTCAATCCTGAAGGAGTTTTAACCCCATCCGGCGGAGATAGTCGAATTGCCAAATCGCATGCGTCGCCATTCGACCGCCTCGGGAAACCCTCATGATAATAGCGGGCCGCGGCCGCGGGACGCCATATCATTGAAGGATCCCGCCCTTATTGGCTGCGGGAGATTCACCCGAAGGAATTTACTCCCCCAAAATAAGGGCACGCACGAGCCACGAGACGGGACGTGTACGAACGAAAACGAACAGAAGCCCCCTCTATCCAGAGAGGGGTTCCACACAATAAAACACACGAGCTCTAATCCTCGAGCCCGTCTTAACATATAGGGATAACAAAATTACCCACCACGACCGATCAACGGTCCACGTCACTGCCCAAGTATGAACCCGGCGTGAGAAAAGCTGCGTTTTCTAGACGCAAGAAACAATGGATAGGGACGTGTCCGTCACCCGCCTGCAGAAATCCCCCAAGGGGCGACCAATCATGGTCCGTCGCCACAAAAAGACTCCCGGAATCCATTGCGTGGAAATGGGGCCGGAGCCCCAAAGAGCAGCGAGCGGCGAGCCCCGGCCAACCAACCCCAGAAGAAACCGACGACCAACGGAACCCCCCAATACAGACTGTACATAGGAAAAAGGAACAATGAAAAACCAGTAATACGCAGTAACACCCGATAAAGCCCACGGGAGGCGACAAACGCCGACCGCCCCCGGGCCACCCACTTTTCAAGGATCCGGAAGCATTGCCCCAGGCAATGCACCGGACCCCAGGAGGAGAGCGGCCCGCTACTGGCCGGCGCTCGACCGTCCCTGGAGACAAAACGGGAGACGACAAAAGCACCGCGAGCGCCCGCCGAAATCAATTACACCGTATTGAATGACCTAAAGTTAATCTAACGCATTACGCGCCCTACGAAATCACAATCCTAAGTCGTCATTCTCATCCCCCATCGCCAACGATGCCCGGGTCGATCAAGCCCTGCTGTTTTCTCCTCTCATCCTCTTTTTTTCGCCGAAGAACTCTCTCCGCAAAAGTAAAAAAAAGCGTTCCACGCTTCACGCGAGTCACAAATGGACCGGATAATCGCCGGCAAGGTAAGATCGCCCCACGACGGCCGTTAATTCTCCACGCTCCAGAGACCAAAAGTTACATACCGCAAGGGTATGCTCGGATGTATCCTCCTCCTCGCTACAATAACGGCAAATCGGAGTGTCTTCTTGCCCGTACGAAGACCCCGAAGCAACCGTGTCCCGTGAGAAACTGGGTGATCCGGAAGGTAAAAAAACCGGATTCCACCGTCGATCCAACCATTGCTCGAAGTTGGGGGCGATGGCCTCGCGTGTTCTTCTTCCCGATAAATGCTCGTTCCGGATGTGAACCAACCACTGCTCCTCCAGCACTGTCCACTCCACTGAACGCACGGCGGTAGGAGAGTCGACGGTCTAATTTCTTGATTCCTTTAGCTCTCTCAAGCGAAGGTACACTCGCCGTAAATATGCCGGTCTGAGAGACAAGATTTCCATATCATCATGGACCCACCAGTCACTAATCTTGCTTAATAAATTGGGGGAAGCCCATGTGAGATCAATTATGGAAGATCCCCGCCCGCTTACAAAAGTGGGTCTGTTCCCAGCGTTTACCAGACGCAAGTCGCTCTGAGCAGCCCATTCCTCTAAGAAGGTCACCCTTGAAATCCAGACGAGTGCAGCTCCAAAGGAAAGCGTGGGCATTAAAATCCCCGCAAACAAGCAAATTATTGTTAATGCCTGAGCACAGGAACGTCAACTCGCCCAAAAAATCTGAGTAGCCATTGCGGCCGGTATTGGGCGAGATGTAGCAGGAAGCGACATAAATATTCCTGTATTTTATGACAACAGTGTTTAGACCCCGCGCGAACAAGAGGTTTGTTCGTGTTGCTTGCACTCCTTGCACTTTTGCACTAAGTGCACGCTAACTCGTTCGTGTTGTAGGAAATGACGTAATGAACTCTGTTCGTCTTACGAGTACAGTCGCACTTTTCACAGTGTTCTGTGAACCTGGTATTGAGGAAGAGCAAGAGTGCAAGACTGATGTAAGACTACCATAACCTTAGTTATAAACGATTTTAGGTTATGCGCTATATAACCCAAAGGCAGGGTTGAAGGCGCTTTGCTCCTTCCCAAAGGAGCAGAAACCAAAAAAAAAAAAAGATTTTAGGTTATATATCAATAAAAGAGAAATAAATGGCAGAGACAGTGATAAAGAAAAAGCGTGGAGTTTTATGCAGGGATGAGATGGGAGATATACTAATTGATTCTGATGGATTTGTGCAATGTGTAATTGAAGGTATTATAAATTTAATTTACACATACGTTTAATGTATTAGTCTTATTCAATATAGTTTTATCGCAACATACTGTAATTAAAATTTAATATATTTTTAAAAATATTTTTTTTATTTAGATGGGAGACTATTTCAAATAAAATATGACGAAATTGATTTTTCCACTAATATCCTCAACTTTGTTGTTGATGACGCACAGATCTTTATAGATTTATTTAAAGAGAGAATTGCAGAAATAGATGAAACGCATGAATTAGAAAATGAAGACTGTAATAAAAATACAGCTACAGATGTCACAAACTTTGATTGGAACGACGCATCAACAAAGTTATTCTTAAATATATACAAATGTAAAAAAGATCTTGTAAGTGCAAGAAAAATTAAAACTTACAAACTGTTATGGAGACAAATAGCAGAAGATATGGGTCGTAATGGTTACTCAGTTTCTCCTTTACAAGTAGAAAACAAATTTAAATCTCTGACTCGATCATATAAGAATATGATCAGTAACAATAAGAAAACTGGTAGAGGAAGAGCAACATGCAAATTTGAAGCGTAAGTATTATTATGTTATATATGTATTTTTTAAACAATTTATCTAAAAGTGCATGAATAGTAAAAATATAATTTTATGTTACAGTGAATTAACAGATTTATTCGCAAAAAAACATAATATAACTCCACTTGCTTTATCAGGAAGAAATGGATTAGTGCTCAGAGAAGATCAGAATTCCGAGAAAGAAAATAATGCTTTGTAAGTAATAAAGAAAGTCTATAACTGTACCCTGTTCACTGAAACGTTTTATTAAATAGATTAAACTACTCGGCGAACAATAACAACGAGTCTGAAAATGATCTTGATGAACCAAGCAGTGCAGCAGGAACTTCAACTAATGCTTCAAACACATTGGAGAAGGACAAAAATCCACAAAAGAAATCTCGAGCAAGCAGAGCAACCGAAAACGATCTTGATGAACCAAGCTGCAGTGTAGCAGGAACAGTTATAGCTTCAAACACATCGGAGAAGAACAAAAATCCCCAAAAAATGAAATCTCGAGCAAGAAGAACAACAACCGAAAACTTAAAAGAATGTTTGGTTGCTATAGAGTCATTTACTTCAGAAATGAAGACTGAAAGAGAAAGTTTTCATAATATGCAAGTACAAATGCTTGAAGAATACAAAAATATTAAAAAACTTCACGAAGACTATATAAATAGTGCAACAGAGCGATGGGCTGCAGCCAGTGCCCAACGAAAGGAAAGAAATGAACTTCTAAAAGAAATTTCTAAAAATTGTTCCGACAAAGAAATTTTTTTGTAATTTTATTTTTATTTAATCTACATAAGTACAATTACACATGCTGTGCAATTAACTTCATAACATTTTTAAAGTTTTTCAATTTTATTTTAACAAATGGATAATATTTTTTGTTTGTTTCTAAGATAAGGCTCCTGGGTATTCGCCGTTTCTATTCTTGTTTGATAACGTCAGAAGCGAGAGACACGTTGAGAATTCTTGCATGCAATTTCCAAATAAAACGATATTTCCATAAAATAACACTTCAGATCACTTCAACACACTTCGAAAATACTCCGAGGTCTACCCCTTTCCCATGACAGTTAATAAACAGCTGTAAAAATCATGCATAAACCTGCATGACTAGGCTTCGTAGCCTTCGTATTACATCTATTTTACTGCAGCTGTTTATTAACTATCAAGGAAAAGGGATAGATCATGGAGTATTTTCGAAGTGTGCTGAAGTGATTTAAAGTGTTATTTTATGCAAATATCTTTTTATTTGAAAATTGCACCCAAGAATTCTTAACGTGTTATTTCGCGCTTCTAATGTTATCAAACAAAAAATAGAAGCAACAAGTCTTAAAATTATTATTCTTTATAATTATAAAATATAACTTATAAAATAATTTTTAGTTCTAAAATTATAATTTCTTATTTTTTAGTTATTACGTTTCTCGAGATGTCCGAAATAAATCGTATGGTGTCATGCACTCTTGGGAACGTAACATTGTAATAAATACATATAAATATATAATTCATATTATTACTTGTGATAATTACTAATAGTGTTTACGACTGGGCCAGTTAAATTAAATTAATGTTCCTACATATCGTAACATAAGTATAATTATAAAGACTGTTACAATAAAAAGTTCCTATATGTATACAATTAAAGGGTATTAATAACATTAAGTATTATGATTTGAACATGGCATAAATAAATAAATTTATTTAGAAAAAAAATTGTTATTTTATTTATAAATATTATATTTTACAAGAACATCAGGTAATGCTTCAAATACATTGGAGAACAACAAAAAAAGAAAAAGAAAATTTATCTTTCTTAATGATGTCGTACAAATAATTGACGGCATAACTCGTCTCGCAATTCACGGCCACGCTGATTTCCAGGAATTATCTCATTATTATTTTCAGCATTATTTATAATCGCTTCTGGATCAGGATACTCATCATCAACTGGAGGCTCTAAAAACTCCAAGTCGTCTACGTGTGCTAAATTATGCAAAACGCAACAAGCGTGTATAACTTGAACCATGCGTACAATGTCCCGCAATTTGAAATGATACAATTGTCTGAAGCGTTGCTTCAAACAACCAAATGCATTCTCAATTATGACACGACATGAACTTAATTTTTGATTGAAATGTCTTTGCGCTTGAGTTAAATGTCCAGTATCTCTATATGGTACCATTAAATAATCTAAACATGGATATGCACTATCTCCAAGTAAGTAAGATCCATCTAAAAAATAAATTGTAGTTCAACAAATCAAAACTTATTTAATCTGATATTTGAGGCTTTCGCGATGTATTGAGTTTAGCTTCCGAGTTGGAGCCGCGTTAATTTTTTATTTCATTTTGATGTTTCGTGAACATTTCAGTTTACTTCGTCAGGAAAAAACAATCTGATGCTATATCAGGTTCTGATACAATATTAGATTGCTTTTCTCTGACGATTAAATGAACTGAAATGTTCATAAAACGTAAGAATAAAATAAATTCACGTGGCTCCAACCCGAAAGCTAAACTTAAAACTAAAATTAATTTGTTTATGTTGATGTTAGTTATCACTGACCTAAACAAATTTGGTGAAGAGATTCATACAAAGGAGATTCCCTAAACACTCTTGAATCGTGTACGGATCCTGGATAGCCAATAAAAACATCTAAGAATTTTAAATTTTGGTCAACTGTTCCTTGCATATGTATGGAAAAATATTGTTTTCTGTTAATATAAGAATCATGATCCTCTTCTGGCTTGTCAAGTCTGATGTGTGTACCATCTATAGCACCTGAAAATATTATATAATAATTTAACGTATTTGTACAGGTATTAAATCAATTATGTACATCAAATATGTGATTATACCAATAATTCCTGGAAATCCTTTTCGCTGTAGAAAATATGTCATTGTTGCCTGTTTCTCCTCTAATGTAGGAAATCTTATTATTTGTGGAGCAAGTTGCATTAAAAATATTGTGACTCTTGTAATGATTACATGTAATGTGCTTATTGTAACACCAAATCGATCCGCTACATCACGATATCCTGCACTTTCGTGGCCAAGAAACCATAAATAACTTAAAATATGTTTTTCACTCGTTATTGGTACATATCCTGCATGTTCTGTAATTTTTAATTGAATAAATATCATTACTATATAAAATAAAATTTACATAGTTAATTACTTACTAACAATAAGATTTATAATAAAATACCTTGTAAAGATGTAAAAACGTCTGATATTTCGAAACGTGCAATAAGTTCGTATGCTATTGCACGTGATAAGCGAAAATGCATGATAAAATCTCGGTGAATATAACCTCTGACAATGTCTTCAATATAATTATTTATTTTAATATGATGTACACGTTCCATATTATTTAATAAAATTTCAATCAAATGTAGTAGTTCATTAGCTGTAATTTATATATAAATTAATTTTTCAATAACTTTTATATCACATATGTAGCTGTCCTGTTTTACAGTTTAGAAATAAATATTTTTTACGCTTACCATATCGTTCTTCATATTGTGGGTAAGGTAAAATAGGAGGAATTACTACAGGTAATTCTAATTCTTCTTCGTCATCTGAAATATCCAACAAGTTTAATATTTCACGTGGATCTGCCATTTCGACTGATCTCGACAATACAATTCTGCACTTTGTCGTTTGAGTTGAAATTACAATTAACTCGTGGAATCGCTACACTCTCTAGATTTACTAGTGCAAGCAACACGAACAAACCTGTGTTAATGTTTCCTGTCTTGTGTAGTATACGCGACGTATACTACACAAGACAGGAAACATTAACACAGTATTGTGCGTTACATAAGACAAAGACTTAAAGCATAAAACACTGTCTTAAGGTTATAAGACAGCCATTCTGCTTAGGCCCTTAGCAACACAATTATTAATATATACGGAAGCCAAGCCGTTACAGCTATGAAACATTGCTGGGAAGCGGGCATGCGGGCAGGCTCAGATACCACACATACTGCCACCTGGAGGTGGTTTGTCCGAATGATGAGTAAGGAGGTCCTACGCCTCTTTACTCTTGTTAAGATTAATTTGTATAAAGGAAACCATTACTTCCGGTTTACGTCATTTTCGTCAGCCCGACGTCTACTTGGCGGGTCCTTCTCAAAACAGTTGGTTGTAGAACCTAGTCTGTGGTTGCCCCTCCTACCGGCCTCCACGCAAATAACGCAACATGGGTTAAGAGTTACAGCCCGCTACGATGTGGTCGCGCGAGCCGCATCTGAAACAAGATCCGGTATGATCCTCGGGGAATGTATACGTATTGCGTATACATTGCAGCACTTGAAGCATTGCACGGGTCGGGCCTCCAATAATTCGACCCGTGCAATGGTCCAGCTAACCTTCAACTTACCCGAAAAGGTGTTTATATCACATGTGCGTCGAAAATGGCCCATTTCTTGCGCCCCATCTGTACACGAAATAACCAATTGCACACACGAGAAATTTCTCACTATATTTACGCACGGGTGCGGGAAATCTCACTAGAAAAGTACTTCCCACACGACGCATTGCCAACACTCTCCTTACTTTTCTCAATCCGACGCTAGCCACGCTATTGGACGGAGATTTTCATCCAATAGCGTGGCTAGCATCGCCACATCTCCGTCCAATAGCGTGGCTA